CAAGCAGTCAAGGGGACAGCTTGAAACTGATTGACAACCTCCCACCAATCATCCTAGTCCTTTTATACCTGAAAACCACAAAGCCACATGACTTTCTGGAATTTGCCACTCTGCCATAGCAACAGGGGCAGTTGCTAGCTCCTTCAGCCTAAATGTCACAACATAACTATTTTTATATATGTGACCAACTTAAGTTCCTCTTTTCCCACATCTTAGCCCACCACATTGTGCAGCTAAGCATCTGTCCTGCTTGCAAAGCACAATTCCCACATACTCAAGGGCACAAGCTCACCACACAGACATCAGTGATTTTTCATAATTTAATCAATGCTGACCAGTGTGCTGGGTCTGCGACCCCCAGACCCTCACAAATATTTATCTTTTGATTACAAGCACTATAATGTAGACAAAGCATCTTTCATTATTCTTTTGAGTACTGCAGGCAGGTATATTCATCTTGATGCTGGACCCAGCCCAGGTCCCCCAGAGGTAACTTGCAACTCCAGGAACTAGATAGGTGCAGCATCAATAGCAGAAATTTTGTAAGTTTCCCACAATATTACTTTTTCTTATTGTTTTTTTTTAATGTATTTAATGTAAAGCATAAATCCTCCTTCCTTCCTTCCTTCCTTCCCTTCCCTTCCCTTCCTTCTTGACCATACAATGGCTCAAAGACAATGATACTGTCCCACACAGGTGACTGTATTCCACACAATAAACAATTCAACTAATCAAAAACATTCTCCTCTTTTAATGTGGTCATTCTGTTGAGAATCCATCAGAACCAGGCACTGTACTTCTATAGCAAAAGATAATGTGAAAAAATAAATCCTATCCTGAAGAGGATTCAAACAGTACTTCCTTCTGCTTCGCAGCTGAACATGAACTGTCTATGCACATTTTAAGATTTCTTTTTTGAGAAACCTTTCATCATGAAGCCAGCCAATAAAAGATTACTATAGTCTTATTGATCTTTTTCATTTTGTGCTAAAGCAAAATAGCCAGTTTATTTCAGATGATAATAAAACGAGGTCACAATTATGCAGAAATAATGACCTTAATTTTATCTACCCTAAACTCAGTTTTAATTTACATTATTTCAGTTTTATATTACTAATGAGAACAAAGCACTTAACTTATACAGGTCATTTAGGAGCTGAAATTCTGACCAAATTCAATATATGGAGGTAGCTATTTACAATGAAATGAAGTGCTAACTTTCCTTTTGGAGATACACTATATCCTTGAACTATATTGTATTTTAACTACATTACAAAATAACAAATATTTTTAGAGAGAAGTAGTATGAAACAATAGTACCTCATACAATCATGATCCACTAAATAAAATTTAAAAAACAAAAGAATTTTTTTGCTGGGTAATTTTTATCAAGCATAAGATTCTACTTATTGCTATTTGTGTTGTATTGCTATTTGTGTTGTTGTATTGTCAAATTACTTGTGCTGATGCAATTACTGCCACATAAAGCATGCAACTCTTGTATAAGAATCTCTATAATTCTAACTAAAAATGTACATTTCTCTTCCAGAATAACCGGTGAATCTCTGCTAAAGACACACACACACACACACCAAAGGGAGAGAGACACACACACCAAAGGGAGTAGCATAACTGGATAGAAACAATATTACAATAATATAAAAATGAATGATACAATCCACCATATTCTAACTCCACTAATACCAAGAGAGTAGTTTGTACCCATTTCGTGCAAGAAATATATTTCTGCCTTCTATGAATCTGAATTTCAAATTTTTAGTGAATGGATTCCTGAAAATTATAGGAAAAAAGCAATTTTCATATGACAGTTTTGCCATCAAATGTGATTTTTAAAGCCATCAAATGTGATCTTTTAAAGCTTTACCTTCTGTACCTTCCCACATGTATGCCCCACCTTATGTACAAGTTCAAAAGATTTCTTTATTTCAGAAACACCCTTCCTTCTTTTCTTACTCGTAATAGTATTTTCAGCAAAATCATCTTCTTTCTGACAATGTTTATCAATTGATTTATTTATATAAACACCAAATAAGTTTACTGCAATCCTGTCAATAACACAGAATAAAACATGAATTTGATAAAAAACAACCAGTGTAGTGGATTCAACAGATACATCAATCTTTGTCTCTCATTATTAGACCTATAGACTTTTACAGTTCAGTCTTCTCTGGGGATGTACACTATAACAAAGCATGGGCTCTCTTTTCTTCATTCTGCTGCATATCCGTTGACATATTGTTATATCTTGTTCCAAGCAAGCCAAATCCTACACTTCCTGCAATTCTCATACATGAACTTTGAAATCTCAGAAGGCCTCCTATTTCCCAAGAAGACATAACTGATGGGTAGGAAAGCAGGCCTAGATGAATATACCACAATTTGCAAAACAATCCTGCTTTTGTTGTATGCAGAACAGACATACAATGGGTCTTTTAAGATACAAGAAGAAATAGAGGGGAAAAAAACATTCAAGCAATTGACGAAATCTCCCCCCAAAATAAATAAAATGCACATCATTAAGAAGTATCCACACTACCACCTTGTGGAATTTTCTTGCAAGAACACCTGCTTTTTCCCATCACCTCCCCCCACCCAAAAGTAGAAAAGTTTCTATTACATATAGTATTTTCTACATAGTATTTTCTTAATTTCATACACATACACCACACACTATACATAGATGTCCATAGTACCTGAGAAGACAAAATCTCATGTAGGCTCTCAGAATTTTATAAATGCCTACAGGTCAGACAATTAATGGGGCCTTTTGTTGAAATACCTAACTTCTCCAACCCCAAGTATTGAAAGTTAAAATTAACCAGGCACTGAACATAACCACTTTCCAAATAATTTCTCCCAGCAGTCCAAAAATCTTTCTAGCAAAACAAAATTCAGGAAAGAACATCTCTAGTGAACTAGCAACTGAGCAGCAACTCAAGATTAGAATGGTAAAAACAAGACTTCGGAAGAATTTTTACCTCATACCTTCATAATATTGCTTAATCTCCTATTCAAAGCCTAAAATAGATATTCTTAACTTTCAGGTATCTTGCAGCTAGCTCAGGTTAAAATTCAGGTGAAGTCTATCAAGCAGGGCCATAACTATTGTGATAAAAAGGTACCAATGGACTGGGGAGTGAGTTCAATTGAGTTTATCCTTGGGCCATAGCTTCAACATTGACAGCTGTGATTACCAGGGAAATGGTTGCAAATTGTGGTTAAGTAATTGGAAAATCAACTTGGGGGGTGACATTTTGTAAAGTGGAAACACTAAAATTGGGAATTTGGACATTGGTGAAGGATAAAGAATACTGTCAATCATTGGAAGAGCTAGATAATTTTACCTGACAAGTTGGACCTGGTATGGTGTGAGGGACAAGGCAGCTGCAGCTGCTCAACCTTTCCAGAGCATCTGAGTGCCAAAGAGTTAGCAGCCTGTACTGGAGACCTGGAAGCATCTGGAACTTTCAAGCCCCTGCAGTGATTTGGGGGTGGGGAAAGAAGATGAAGCCACCTCTCTTTCTCTCTCTCCTCTTCCCCCCTCCCTCCCAATTAGAATCATCCTTTCCTTAAACATCCTCCTAGACCTGGAAAACTGAGGGCGAAAAGGGGCTGAGGGCAAGATGGCAATTTTGAAAAGGATGAGAGAGGGAGGAGACTAACGTGTTAGGCTGCCGATCTTATGACCCCCTTCACGGGTGGCTGCAGAAGGGACAGTTCATCATTCACAACGCCCTGCAGACCAAAAGGGAGGGGTGCATAGGAAAAGGAAGGCAGCTGCAGTGCAGTGAAGGAAGAGGTGGATGAAAAGGGTAGAAGCAGCCCTGATGTCGGGCATTAAAGGCAGGCTGTTCGATCACTTGAGTCTTAGTTCTAGGTTTGCTAACTTTCCACTGGAGAGTCGAGCCTTAGGAACGTCGATCAACCATTCCAGCCCAAAGCGGAGTTTTCTTCCTCCCCCTCCCCACCAGGAGAAGGTACAGAGAATTCAAGGGGAGAAAAAGACCCACTTTGGGGCATACGGCGGATCTAGCAATCCTATTGTCGTCGTCGTACCCCCCACCTCCACCCCCGCAAAGACGCTCCAGCTTTCCCTCCCGCTCCCCTTTTCAAAGCTATTTCCGTTGTTCTTCCTATTTAATTCAGCTTCTCTTTTCAGATAAACAAGTAATAAATAAGGAGGAAACCCACCCCGAATGCCAGTCCGTAAATCACGTGTGTTTTCTCATCTATTAAAAAGAAAAAGAACACCAAGCAGCCTCCGGAGATGGGGAGGAGGAGGAGGAGGAGGACCCGCTTAATGGTTCCAGAGAGCCCCTAACCCCTCCCCATTCTAGCGGGGGAGGTCTAAAGCAACGCTCCGGCCGCCTGTTTTGCATTTCTCCCCACCTCCATTCCCGCTCGGTTCCCAAGAACCACCCCTGAGGTCCAGCTTCCCTGCATAATCTCCGTGAAGCGGCGGCACTTCTCTCTCCCCCCACCTTCTCTCTGCCCTCCGTACTGCAGATATCACCCCACACACACACACACACACACTGGCTTTATTTCTCCGAAAGGCAGAACTACTTTGTAAACATCTCACATAGAGCCCCGAGCTTCGCCAAAGAGCTGACTGCAGCAAAGTGGTCCCCACCTTCCAAATCAGGGTCCAGGATGTGTGGATGCCCAAGTGTGGGCGATTGTGAGTGTGTGCGTGAGTGCAAAGAGAGGGCGGTGTGTGTGTGTGCGGGGGGGGTGAAATCCTCTAACGGTGGTGGCGGTGGTGGGAAGAGGAGGAGGCGAGAGAAGAGGAAAAGAAAAGAGAAAGTCTTTGCCCTCCAATCCCCCCCCCCGAAGGTGGCAAAGCGGCGGGACGCGGGGAGGGGGGGGGCGAGCGCAAAAATGACTGCAGCAAAGCAATACCTCTAGTCTATGGAGTATCGGCTGCAAACCAAAAACAAGAAGGGGGAGAGAAAGGAAAGACTTCCAGATGCACCTACCTTTACCGAAAGAACTGGTGTTCTAGACGGAACAGGACCTTCCAGCGGATTTCTCCCCGGCGAAAAAAATTTGGTCGGAATCTCACACCGCTGGAATGAGCGGAGTTCGGCGTCTCTCCCCCCCACCCATCCCCTCTCCGTGTCCGTGAAATCCAACCAGAAGGATCGTTCTCGTCCGGAGGAATGCAACAGCCCCCTCGGAAGCAGGGAAGGGGGGTGGGGGGGGAAGAACGGCGATCAAACAAACAACAACGCGCACCCACGCACCCCGCAAAACCTGGCCTCCACACTAGGCTTGAAATAACCCGTAGCTCCTCGCTGCCAATGACCTACATTCAAAGGAGAAAATTCAGCACAAACCGCGCGGGAAGAAGGCGAGTTGGGTCTCTGAGTAAAGAGCTCGGATCGCCGATGCGGGGAGACAGCGGTAGGGAGGAGGGAGGGAGAGCGCGCGAGAGACTGCTCGGCTAGGAGAAGCGAGATTGAGCAGGGAGAGGGTCCAGGCTGTACCAGTCTCTCTCCTTCTGCTATTGGACCAAACTGAATGAAATTTACAAAGCCAGCAGCCAATAGATCTCCTCAGTCTGGCCCATCGCTACAGAAACCAGATCGACATCTACAAGCCAAGGCGAAGAGCCTCTCATCCTCAACCCAAACCGGCTGGAAGAGAATTAGCCGGGGTTAATGTCTGGAGGGCTGAACAGGTGGGCATTTCTACACATGTTGAAACAGAAAGGTAAAGAAAAGCACCTGTTACTGCCCCGGAACATCTCTGGCTTCATTCGCGCACACATACACGCCCTTAACCCATTAGGGCTACTTCAAAAATGGTCTCTTCCACAGCAGCAAAGTGTACCGGCTAATAAACTTGCTCAAATAGTAAAGCCATTCTTGAACTGGGGGAATTGAAAAAGATCATGCTGTTCCAGGAGCAGCATTCCAGGAGCAGTTCCAGTATTTCAAGGAGGCATTGTTGGAATCGCTGGAGGTTGATTGTGGGACTATAAAACAGGTGCATTGTCATTGATCTGTGTCCCCATTCATTGCTTTGATATTGTATCTTTCTTTTCTCTATGCCACACCTCACAAATGGGAAGTACAAAAGTGGTTTCCATAAGTCCCAAAAAGTGGTGGCTTTCCACATGCTTGTTCTGCAATGTGACCAAAGTTTCATTCTGAAAAGCAAGTAGAAAACCTGATTTCTTTGAAATGCTGGAGTAAGTTACACAAAAAGCAATTAAATAAAGGCTGCAAATCAATAAACCTTGTTTGTTTTGTTCCATTGTTTGCACCAGCAGAACTACAGCATGGGTTATAGTAATCCTACATGGAATTTACTCCTTGCTGTGGCAAGGGAAAAAACTGCCAGTATAATTTGTCCTACTCATTATCATTACTCACCTCTGTGTTTTGCTGCCAGCTGGTGTTTTGCAGTACAGAAAAGAGCAGGATAAGGATGCTTAAATCATGGCCTGTGTCATGGATATAATCAATAAAATTGGGGTTGCCAAGCTGCTTTAACATTCTGTGTGTGTGTGTGTGTATTTTGTGTGTGTGTATTTTGTTTAGGTCTCTTCTAAAACCAAATCTTTGACTTACTCTTCATGTCACTGGAGCTTCTTTATCACTTTAAAAGTATCTAAAATTGATCAGGGAATCTGCTGTGTCTATGGATCAGGTTCCACATAGCTTGAGACATCTGTCATGAGCATGGCTAGTAAGTGGAACATTACAGATAATTATCAAAGGTGCAAGCCTTTGGACGTTGCCTTGATGGTTTGGAAAGAATAGGAACCACAGTTCTGAAGTTTATGTAAGAGATCCAGGATTCTTGTTTCTTGTGAGGAAACATGAAACAGAAAACTGTTTTAATGTAGGTATCCTCAGAAAATATGACACACATGGGAAGAAAAAGGATGTCTTGTAGAGTTCAGAGTTTTTTAATATTCATTTGCATCTACCTATTTATTTCACTGCAAAGCTGTATAAAAATTATGTATACCAAATCACATCAAACACAGATTTCAGAAAAATTCAATATGTGAAATTATAAATTGAAATAAATAAATAAATAAATAAATAAATAAATTCAATTATTTTCCAATGATACCATTTTCAAGATGTAACAAATTCAAAATTCATAATAGACCTATCATGACTATTCTGCAATGGATTTTGAATTTATTCATCTTGAAAATGATATCTTTGGAAAATAATTGAATAATTTCACCTATTGAATTTTTCTGAAATCACTAGTAACATCTAGGACTATGATGGCAAACCTATGGCACTCATGCCAAAGGGGGACGCAGAGCTCACTCTGTGGGCATGTGTCACTGTGCCCCGAGACATTGGCCCAACCTGGCTGTGGCCGATGGCAACCTCGCTAACATGAGGGTTGGCATGGTGGAAATGGGATCCGGGAGGAGGGTATGATGGAAAGGGGGACAGGCCCACAGCTGAGGAGCAAGCACAAACTCTGGCGGTGGCTTCCTCCTCCTCCTCATGCGACCCCCTGGCCGGCTGTTGTGGAGCTATGAGGGCACGCACAAGCAGGGATTCTCTCAAGTGAGTGGAAAAAGAAGGGAAGGAAAGAAGGAAGGAGATTATAATGAGGGAGAGTGAGAGTCTGAGGTAAATCCTGCCTTAGCACTTGACCACCAGCAGCCCTGCTGCCTTTTGCTATCCCCTTGTCCCATCCTCCTGACCTCCTGGTGGTCTCCCATCCTATCACTGATGATACTTTGGTTACAAAGCCAGGACTCCTCATAAGGAGAGGGAGTGGGCCTCCTCTGACCCACATACTTTGCCCTCCCACACACACCATGAGCAACCTGGCTAAGGAGAGCGAGCACAGCAGCAGTGGGAGCTGGCCACGCCCACCCCAGTCCCTGAAGTCAACCACAATCCTGATGCGGCCCTCATTGAAATTGAGTTTGACACTCTGGACTAACAGATGACCTGAGTGCTGCATGTGTTGCTCGCAAACCTACAACGTATAAGCCAAGGTTAGAAAAATTATCAGCATGCATACAACACCAAAAGTCACATTAATCAAAAGCATGCCAAATGCAAACTTTTACCTTTCAATAAAAAGTTGTTTGATTCGTTGAAACCTCTGTTATTGTGTGTTTTTTTCTAGAGGAAAGATGTTAATCAAAACCAATGTATGAGTTGTGTTTTCTAAACTAAAACCTCATTATTCAGGTTAAATTGCCGTGTTGGCACTTCGCGATAAATAAGTGGGTTTTGGGTTGCAATTTGGGCACTCGGTCTCTAAAAGGTTTGCCATCACTGATCTAGGATAATATAAAAAAGAGGAAGTTAGGGTTTTTTTAAAAAAAATCTTTTTTTTTTTACACAGATGTGAGACAAGCAATTTCATTGGTACCATGCACTTTCACAATCTCAATCTTTCTCCAGTCTCATACGTCCTTATCTTATCGCGACCTATGAGTGAAACAACCTTAAATCATCATGAAATGTACTAAAGTAAATTGTACTCAAGAAGCCAAATGCAAAACCATAAAATAATGAGGGATACAGATGGTTATTTCTTATTTTGTCAGTTTTCCCATATTTGTCGATTTCAAATTGACAAATTGACAAATTCAAAGATCAGTTTCAAAATATTTCTCAGTTCAGTAGCAGATCAAGTTGCATAACAACTAATCAATTTTACTTATTCTGCTGTATAGCATCTAGATAGTGGCATGACCCTTCAGTGTTCCTCTTCTCTGGGGCTATTTTTTCCATATGTATCTTTATATCACTTTATTTTAATCTAGTGATTGAAGATGAGGGGAGAGGAAGTTAAAGCAGCTTAGAGAAGCCCAGGAAAAGTCCCAGAATCAGATTCATCCAAATCACGCCGCAGTGCCCTGTAAGTGAATGTTTTACTTACTGGCTGGCGATATCTTGAAAGGACAGCAACAGTAAAGCCAGAGGAAATCACCTTGTCTATAATATTTGGCAGTGACTTGGAATAGATACAATAGAAGCAGAACAATGATATATGAATGATATATGATGAAATGTAGTACATTTTGCACTGACTCAAGGTTGGATGTATGCACTTCAATTCAATAGGACAAAAAAAAAAATCAAAAAAATGAAAATTATGTTCAAAGAGCCTAAATTATGTTAAAAGGGTTTGTCACCTACTGACTAATTGTTGCATATTGCTTGGTACTTTCCTGCTTATTTTATCAAATATACCTTCATTTACTCTAAGCTTCAGAGACAACCTAGAAGTTATAGTTTTCTTCTGTTGTGAAGACACATGGACACATAGCCATATGTCCTAGAATTTTCTTTAATGGCGCTGCTGCTAAAACCCCAGCAATGAATGAAACACGTTCATATTGTGGTTGTTCCTCCTGGCCCATTAGGAATAGATTGATCAGCTTTGTATGGGAAGAGTATCAGTTACCAAATAAATGATTTATGTGAGAAGAGGGCCATTAGTCTTACAAACTTCTTCGTGTTGCAGTTGAGAAATCTTAGAACAAAGAAATATGTTTATTGAAGACAGAAGCCATGTTGTAATAAATATTGTAGATTATTCCTTTTTAAAAAGAAATCTCCAAAATAAAAATAAAATAAAATCGCAAACTTGGAGTAAAGAAATTTGACATCAAAAACCCAGTGTTAACTTTAGAAATCTGTGCTATTTATTTATTTAACTTATATGGCCATTCATCTCACATAGGTAATTCCCACATGGTTTACGATAAAATGGATAAAACACCTAATTTTTTTAAAAACCTAAAAAACCCACAGCAGAATCATAAAAAAATTACAATTAACTTAAACAAGAGTTTATGTCTACCAGGCCTCAGACGTAGGCACAAAACCAAGTTTTCAAGGGCTTCCAAGAGGCCATGAGGCTCAGGGATAACCTGATCACCAGAGGGATGATTTCTCAAGCAATACAGAAATCAATTATCATAGGGAAATTTTATTATTATTTTTTTTACAAAGAAGCAAGTTAAAATATTAAATCCTTTCTCTCTGGTCTATTATTTCTATAAAAAAAAGAGAGAGAGAGGAAGACAGTCAGGTCTACCATCTTTGGTTTGGTGCCTCACTGGCATCCTGCCGTCAAAGGCTAGTGGGGAGGGGGCATAGGGCGAAGTAATGAACAAATGGGCTATAAACCTGTGTCATTATGTTATGGGAAATAGGGATTGGGGGAAATGACAGTTCGATGAAGAACAGAGAAGCTCAGAACCAGTTTGTGCCAGCACTCTAGGCCATGCACCCTGAAAAGGAATGTGGATGAACCTAAACATCTCAGCATTCTCAAAACATCTAGGTCCATGATGGCGAACCTATGGCACGTGTGCCACAGGTGGCACGCAGAGCCATATATGTGGGCACATGAGTGTTGCCCTAGCTCAGTTCCAGCTGATTTTCGGACCTTCCGGACTACCAGACATTGGGAAACAGGCTATTTCCAGCTTCTGGAGAGCCTCGGGGAGGAGGGGAAGGCCATTTTCGCCCTCCCCATGCTCCTAGAAAGCATTTG